GTTGAATAGGGAATATCTGCTGAAGGACATGCCAATCAGTGATTGCCTTACCGGCCTACGTTGATCTGACTCATTTTATAAACTGTACTATTTCCTATGGATCATTTTCCAGATGGTTCTGCTATAATTAGTGTCTGGCGAAAAGCTTCCTTCCTTCCATTTACTTTGAACATTTTCCCAGGTGGATAATAATAGACAGAATAATAAATTAATTGGTTGGAGCAGGTCCAGCCTACATGGGATCTTCCTTGTAATGCTGGGCTCAGGATGACAATGCCCTGTTCCTATGGTGGAGTGCATTTATGGTTGAGTGAGTTATGATTTTGCCCATAATACTAGATACAGCTTTACCCTGTTCTGATGGTGTTGAGTCGATGCAATGCCATGACCACATAATGCTGGTTTTGATTTATTGTACTTCTTGCTCCTATGGTGGTTTTGGGAGTTTGTCCAGTTATGACTGAAAGCTCACTTCCTCTTTCTAATTCTGGGTGTTTGACGTATGACATTGTTTACTTATGATTGGGGTTGTTGGGTATATATATACATAACACAATCCACATGCCCTAGTCAAAATGTTGTTATTACAGTTTTTTTTCATCCTCAACCTTCTAATGCCGAGGGCGAGTTATGGAACCTCGTCTATCCAGTTGAGGTTGAGAATGTACATAGCTCATTCCATTTCTATGTTATTATAGCTTGCACCTATCAACCATATTCCACTTGTGCAACTAACTTTTTTTCTCCCATTTTGAATTCATTTCCCACTTCCTGGGTTAAGAGCATACCTGTTCCAGAAGTAGTATGGTACCACAGGTGTGCTTCTTTTTCATCTCTGAATATATCCGTTCTTTCTGGGTGGTCGCTTTCCATTTGGTTTGGTACTTGTATGCCTACACCAGCTCCTCTACCTTAGCAATGTGGGATTCTAGCTTTGTGTGAGAAGAGGTAAGATTGAATCGGAAGTTAACATTTTTCTTACACTGAAAATTTGTTTCAGATAGGTACTTACCTCCTCTCACACACTTTCCTCACTGCCAGTGTTCTCCTTTTGGAGCCTGCCAATTCTTGAAAGTGAGAATAAGAGGGAAATAGTAGAGGGAGCTAGCTGTGTCAGTATAGGCAGTGCAATACTATTAGTAGAGAGTAGTCACGTGATATGTACATGTTCAGAAATTTATGTGGTATATAGACTGGTGTGCTGATCGCAAAAAATTTTTAGCAATGCTTAGATGGCAGATAGCTATGTGTGATAAGAGGTAAGAATCAATTGGAAATACATTTTCAATGTAAGAAAAGTTTTAACGTTAATCTTTGTGTCCACATCTCTATTATGCATGGTAACCCAGGAATGCTATTAGGCTCAACACCACTTTTACAATTACAGAGACATCTGGAGTTATGCAAGCATTTGATTAAAAACAGCTTGTTTGTTGACAGCATGAGAGCAACTCAACAAGGAAAGGCTCTTTGTATTTCAGAAGTAAATACCTGTTTGAAACTTATTTCAATTCTAAAAAAAAGGTTTGTTTTTTACTTTTAATGCAGTTGTGCATGTCTTTTGAAAGTACTAAGATTGCACACTACATTAATATTTATTCTGAGCCAAGCATTCTGCTGTACTAAGTATTTGTTTATTTTCACACTTTGTCTTTTTATTTAAAGCAACTGTAGCAAATTGTTTTTGATTTGAATTGGTGAGGTTACAACAAATTTATTTTATATAACTTTCTCATTTATCTCTTCTATTAAACCACATTTGACTATGCTGCATCCTTCTCAAATCTTCAATTAATACATATTTAGACAATAACTGAGCATCATGTTAAAAAATTCAATGGTAGTGTATTAGTACAAATTATATTTCATTTAGTAGTTGATCCATGTAAGAAGTGTGAAAGAATATGTGACCTGAATTAGATTGATGGATTTATGGATTTTTAACTTTAAAAAACTTGAACTGTTAGAAAAGAAACAAATCTTTAGTTTAGTAACTTTGTTTAAAACACTCGTGGAAGGATCCAACAGAGTTGTTAGTTGCATACAAGCTCAATATCAAGAAGTAATCAATAATTCTGTATATGTTTGTGTTTTATGATTGTAAGGTCAAGATTATTAAGTTTAAAATAAACTTCTGTTTGATTTGATAAACCAAGAAGTTCTTCTAGACTTACTGCATGTGATGAAATATTGCAAAAAGCTGCAGGTAATTGGTCCATTATAGATTTCCAAATCAAAAATGTCCAAAGATAATGTCTCAGTTCTATATTGTACATGTCCATGATGAATAGTAAATAATTATGTGTACATGATTATTTTATTTGTACAGATAGAACAGATATCCCAGATGGTATCTTTTGCTGAAGCTCTCCATGAGTACCACTCTCAGTGTGCTGAAATTATTCGAGAATTAAATGACAAACTTATTGAACAGTATGTATATATGTATGGTTTATTATAATATGTGTGCTAAAGGGATGACTATTTCATAACCAATTAATTTATAAAATCAAGTGACTGAAAACTTTGTCCATCAGAATAATAAATTAGCTTTCAGATATTCAAGTCTCCATTATAGTAAAGTGTTTAATGACACTTATTTGTTTAATAACACTATTGGCACTTCTCATTTTGGCAGTTGAATATAATAAATTTAGTTTGTATTTGTCCAGCATTAAGGAATTATTATTCTAACCATCTAATATTCATCTAAATACATCCAACAGTATTGACAACATCTTTTATTTATGATGTGAGATCTTTAGTGTTGTCTGACTTTATAGCACAAATCTTGTATATAACATAATTTTTCAAAACAACAATCTTACATTTTGTATAGTAATGAACTGTGTTACACTAATAATTAACTAATAACACCAAAAAGTCATTATGCTTGAAACAAGACTTACTAGAGTTTCATTACTTACCTCTGTTATTTCAAGTATAGAATCATACCAATTGTTTTGGCCTGCAGGAAAAATTTAGCTATAGAACGTCCTCATGTACAATACCAACCAAAGAAACTGGAGGAACTGAATATTCCAGCCATTCAAGATGACATCTCTCCTGGAGATCTGCCCTCAAATTACAATGGTGGCTCACATACTTACACAACAATCTCAGGTACAGAGGATTTGTTTATTTGTTTTAGTGTAAAGCCACATTGGGCTATCTTCTGTGTCCACCATGGGGCATCAAACCCTGGACTTTAGCATTGTAAGTCCATAGACTTATGGTTGTTGCATCAGGGGGTAGTAAAGAGGGAGCTGTATGACAATTATGTATGCTTATTAAACATGGAAATCTATTTTATAAGTACTTTCTTCAAGACTATTTCAAACTATAAGGAACTAAAATTGTGTATTTTCTATTTAGAATTTTGGTTAGTTATGTAAAGGAAAGGTATATTATTTATTTTGTAAAACTTTGTTGTATAAGTGTGATAATTCAGGAAAATTACCACTTATTCATTGATGATTTACAATGATTGTTGTAACAGACACATTTTGTTTCTTAAACTGTTGTTTGAACAAAAATATTCAAGTGTTTGTATATATATAGTTTAGAAAAGTTGCACTTAAATAAGATGTTTCATGAAAAAAATACATTTCACAAATGAAATCTACATTTTAAAAATTTAGAAATTAGTCCTTGATTGAAAAATAAATTTAAGTGATTCATTCAATTGCAAATTTTTCTCTAAAAAAAACAGTGCAAGAAAAATCCTCTTTAACGAAAATGCTGATAGGAGATAAAATGTTATTAATTATAACATTATTATAAAGGTCTGAGGAAAAATTTAATCATAAAATGTATATAGGAATCAAAATAGGACGTTTAGTAAAATTGTATTTACAACTCAGGACTTGGAGTACGATTCATAGTTTTTATGCTTTTTTTTACTGTTAATCTCTATTCTGTCACTCGTTAAAAATTAACATGTGATACTGTGAAGGCTTAACTAATGAATGTTAGTTCAATTACTAGCTGTTTAGCAGAGTGAATGTACCCTTAGCTTGTTTTTCACCAATTCTTGAAAGAGATTTCCCGATATAAAGTTAAGTAATACTTGTTTCCAAATATTTTAATGATTGGGTGTTTACACTTCTGCTCAGAGCTTGCATTTTTATCTCTGAAGGGGCTAAAGGTATTTCTGTTACTAACTATGCAGGTTAAATATGTGTAATAATTATACATTTATGTACTGTTGCTAACAAATTTTGTCCATCACTGATGTTTTTCTCTTGTTAGCTTCACCAGCTCGGTCACCTGCATCCTCTCCCATTAACCCACGCCACCCTGATTCACTGTTTTTAACTGGGCATGGAAATTTTTCCACTGGTGGTGCTACATCACCTTATCGTTCACCTAGCCGTTCTCCTAATGGTACTAACATTCTTGTTTCTTTCTTCTGTTCTGTTTCCTGTGAATTATAATTTATTAATTTAAAAAAAATGTCTTAAAAATAGGCCTTTGTAAATGATTGCTCTTTGGAAGAATTGAAAAGACATGCTGTACTGTCTAAATACCTTTCTTTTGATAACTTCAAAAAGAATTACAGCACTTTTTTGAATTACAGTTGAAGAAAAAAGTGGGAGTTAAAGGTAGATAGCTGTAATTTCCCTGAAAAACATACATCAATAACAAAAGAGGCTTTCTTCTTTGTGATATGTATTATCAGTTGAAATAAATCATATTTTCATATATTGCCAACATCTAAATAGGGAATGAAAATTAAACATACTTCCAATATGGTACTTCCCTTCTCACACAAGATTAGCTATTCTTGTTCATTGCTGCCGCTATATTCTAACTTTTTATTTATGTATGCCACAAGCCTTCTGCTCCCCCTCTATTGGAATCATGTAATTCCAACGTGTCTCTCTTGTAAATCATCACGCATCTCCTCTCCACCAATAGGAGCATAGTACACTCACGTGACATATGTGCCTCTACCAAATTATCACTTCTCGTTTGGGCAGCACTTGTACTTGGATGTTGTTTTTTGTCATACTTTACTGTTTCACTCTTATATTTTCTGGAGTTTGAAATTTCCCTTCATTTATCCTAGCTATTCCAGTCGCATTCCAGAACTAATGTTACCACTTTGGGGGTCACACCTACGACTAACGCTATCTCACAGGCCGCAGTTGCGGGCAATCTGGCATGGGTTTTTATCAGTGTTTATTGCCCGTGAGATTGAACATTAAAACAGTCGGCCTCTTTCTTTGGTTCTGACCCACAATTCCTCCCGTAGAAGCCTACCCTATTTGGGCAGACGGAGTTCTTGATAGCTTTTTTCCACCACAGGATATCAAGTATTTGGTTCTTCATTTCCATTATGTAGTCTCTGTTCCCAATACAGAGATCCTATGTTTTTTTCACATGTTTACAAATATTCACATTACTCCATGGACAGTTTCTACCTTATTTCGTTGTGAGTTTGATAGTCTAATGTCTGGACTTTCATTGGACCTTGCCTCATGCTTCATGGTCCACCATTTGCCGTACAGTCTGCCGAAAGATAAGACAGTTTACAGTTTTATTATTAATATTGTTATCTGTAATTATTTGAATTCCATAACATACGCTTATTTAGATTTGTTAGTACTAAGTTTATTCTTTGTTGTTTTTTCTTCTATGCCATTCAATTAGGCTTAACATGGTATGTCCTTCATTAGTTTAACTGTGTGTTTCCTTACTTTTATATCATAATTTCTATTTCATTTTGTAAATAATCTTTTTTTTTCACTTGGTTTGGGTGGAACCCTTGAATCGGGGCCCACACAGTCTTCTACCATTATTATGCCTATTTATTGTTCATTTTCGTTTTTCATTCTGTTCTTAGGTTATCCTTTATTCTGTACTGTTTAATTAGGTTTAACTAGTTTTTGTTCTTTTCGTTTTCACTGTAGTTCTAGTTCAGATTTCCTTGTTATTTCTGTTCACTATCATGTTTGATTTGGCTTCATTACTGTATTATCTATCAGTTTACCTATGGTTTTATTGACAGGGTAACATCTACTTAGGTTCCAGTTTTTCTTCACCACTACATCATACAGGATTCATTCCCTATACCGTTTTCTTCCCATTTCAACACTTTGAATAATTCTTTTTCTTTATAATTTATCCTTTTCCTTTTACTTTCGTTTCATCTCTACTTTATAATTGTTACTATTCATTTCATTTAGTTTATACTTTATCCTTTTTACTATTAATTTCATTCAGTTTATAATTTATCCTTCATACCATTAATTAGTTTATTGGTTTCCCATATTCTTATGAACAGGTTCATATCTACCACGGTTTCAGATTTTTCTTCAATTCAACGTCATAAGGGATTCATTCCCTACACCATTTTCTTCTCGTTTTTTACTACTTTGACTAATTCATTCTGTTTTTCTTTTTAGTTTATACTTTTTCAGTTACTTTCGTTTAATCTCTACTTTATACTTCTTACCATTAATTTTGTTTCGTTTATAATTTATCGTTTGTACCAGTAATTTAAATTTATGTAAGGGTCCCTGGGAGTCAGGGTCTGCCATATCTGCTTCCACTATTGCTGACCATCTTCATTTAATGGCTGAACCCATTTTCCAACATCATAAAATTGGCAGTTCTCCCTGACCTTATCATGGAATGCCTTCCATACTTCTATTGCAGTATCTGCTAGATCTTCCTTACACATTTTCAGACACGTTTTGCAGGATATTATCTCTTTAGAGTTTGGGTACTTACAAGCCTTACTTTTTACGGGCTTTCAATTGTACCTTAGTTTAACTTCAGGCAGATTTCTTCCAGCATTTGTCATTCTTTTTTTACCTATTGTCGCTCATACCTTTAATGTTTCATGTTTCCCTTTCTTCAGTGTTCTGTTTACATTTTGGGTTTGTCGAGGGATATCTCCTCTTTATTCCCTCTATATTGGGGTTTTTGCATCTTCAGTTCATTCTATCCTCACATGGCTTCTTTGCTTTTTGGTTAAATTCAGGTGTGAAACTGCTCTTTGTTTTCTTTTCCATTATTAACAGGGTTTCACGGTCTTATCTTTTCTTCTCTTGTCCCTTTTTTGGGGGCATTACTCTTGTGGGTGGCACCTGTTTGCACTTCCTCTCTTTTCACACATTAGATCTGCTTTTTTGGGCCCCCATGCACAATATTCATATCCTTGCATATCATGTTCTAGGTGCTCTTGCTCAGATCACAGTTTGTTTTTCTCGTCCCAACACATTCTATCCATCGGAGTGGTCTCTCACTTCTCTTGTTTTCTTCCTTGGGATTCTCCCAACATAGATCCCTTTACTACATCTCTTAACCTCCCATTACCTCTAGTTTGTATCCGGTACCTTCTTTTATAGCTAGGACTGTTGATGCCTTCAGGCGGGATTGGTTCCTTTATGTTCACCCCCCCCTCAATCCTTTCACTTCCATGGGTGATTTCCCTCATCCCTACCATTCTGTGTTAGGTCCTTCTGATTTCTCCTTAATGGGCAGCTCAACCATGGTTTCCGCAACTTCTCCAACTTTTACTTCCACTGCCTCTTTCTTTGTCTTCTGCCCATCTTCATCCACTTCGTTTGCTGGTACTCCATCCAGACAATCACATCAATCGTTTTCTCGCTTGGCTCTTATCCAGTCCTTGGCGGGGAAATCAGGTTTACACCTACAGGTAGCTTTCTTTTAGCTTGTTCCATTCACTCTTCTTCAGTGGACATTTATTGGCATAAATGGAAAGTGTTCTTCAGTTAATCTATGAGTCAGGGATTTCCTGCAGATAAACCCGTGTCTCGAGTGGCAGTGTGTTTCTCTCCTGGTTTTTTTTACTATGGGTCTTTGGTCCCTTTGATCTTGGGTTACCAGGTAGCTTTGTCCCATATCTTAGTTTTTTCTCAATACTGTAGAGTTTTTACCTCACCTATCCTTACTATGTTCATACATTCTTTCCGGATTAGTCATCCTCCTTGACTGCTTATCATTCCGGCTTGAGATATTAATGTGATTTTTTATTTCCTCACTTCTCCTTCGACTGCATCACTTTCCTCGTGTTCTATATTTCACCTTTCCTTCAAACACAATTCCTTCTCCTCTGTGCCAGTGTACATCAGAGGTCGGAGTTGTTTCCCTTGATGTTTCTCATACATTTTTCCCACTCTCTCTCTTCTCCTTTATCGGGATTTTTTCTTCCTACCCAAGACATTGGTGGCTAGGGGAGGTAACTCCTCCTTTTAACTATCTCCCTAACTTTCATTTCCCATCTTTATCCCGACTTAGATTGACTCTATCATGATATAAAAGACTGTTTGGTTTAGATATTAGTGATTATTTTTGTAAGTGAATATTTTATCATTGTTTAGTTTTCATTATAATAAAAGTTAAAAGCGGACGACTGTCGGAAGTTTTGACAAAAGGAGCAGAGGATCTTCAAAAGAAAGAAGACCAAATGATTATGGTAACTCATGCCACAATTGTAAGTGAATCACAGAGAATACAAGAGCGAAAGAAATAGAGAAGATAGTTTGGCTTGTCAACTGAAGTTCTTAAATAATTGAATAGCCCTAAGTGGATATTTGACAAAAAGGAGGGAACTACACAGAATCATAGATAGTATTTATGATATTTCCATAATATCTATAGCGCTGAAGAATATTTATATATATATATATATATTATTTGAAAACAAATGAAGTGCATGCTGTTTATTTATCAATAAATATATCACTAACAAGTCACAGACACCTACTGTAGAAGAATCGTAAGCCCGACAACAACATAGTATGTATTTATACTATTAAGAAATATAATTAATAGCCTTTTTATTTTGACAAATGATGAAGATCAGATGTTTAAATTTTGACAGTTGGGGAGCCACAGCCAGGATTATACAGTGGTAAGTGGCGATAAAAGAAAATGTGAACGACATCAGAAATCAATAGACCTACCTATTTATGCACAACTGTAGT